GTAGGTGCAGCGGGCCAGATTGGTGTTCCGGTTCTCCAGGAAGTCGATCAGCCGGCCCGGCGTGGCAATAATAACCTCGACGCCGCGCTCCAGGTCGCGCGCCTGCGGCACTTTCGAGGAACCACCAAAGATGCAAGTGTGACGGATCTCCGGCTTGCACAGATGGCCGTAGTCGCGCACCACCGACTGAATCTGCTGGGCCAGCTCCCGTGTGGGTGCCAGCACCAGGGCGATGGGTCCCTCGCCGCGCAGTATCGGCGGCTGGTTTCCAATGTGCACAATGGCCGGCAGCATGTAGGCCAGCGTCTTGCCGGAGCCAGTCTGGGCAATGCCGACCAGATCGCGGCCGCTGAGGGCTATGGGCCAGCCCTGGGACTGGATGGCCGTGGGCTTGGTGAAGCCCTGACGCTTCATCTCATCGATGACGTGCGATGGCAACGAACACTCCTCGAAGTTGGCCACCGGGTGGGGCAGCTCGTTGCCAGAGACAGTGATCTCCAGCTCGCGGCGCAGCTCGGCTACGGCCTGCTCCGACATATTCAGCGTATTCGGGTGGATGACGTAAAAGTTCTTGGGGAACGGCTGCAGCTGCTCCCACTTGGGCTTGACCAGGTTGCGGCCCGGATTCTTGGCCTTCTCGCGCTGAATTTCGGCACGCTCCTCTTTGGACAGCATGCCCAGAGCGGCAGCATTGTAGCCGCCGGCCTGATAGCCGCCACCGCCGTTGCCAAGTCCTCCGTTGTGCGGCTTCTGGTAGCGCTGTGTGTAGTTGGGACTCTTTCCGTGGAGCCCGCCTTGGTAGCCGGCACCGCCGCCAGCTACTCCATTGCCAAAGGCACCGCCATTCTGTACGGTGTTGGCGCCTCGATACGGATTGCCTCCGGTACCGGCGGCACCGCCACCCATGCTGATGCCGCTCTGTATGCCGTAGGCCATAACGCCGTAGTGCTGGCTAAAGTGCATGCTGCCAGCCGCTCCAGCGGCTCCGTTCAATGATGCTGCGCCGCTGCCAGCGCCGGGAAAGTTGTTGCGTGGATAGCAAATGCGGTCGCGACGCTGACCAGTGCCGCCGCCAGCTCCGGCCACGGCCCCGTTGCCGTAATAGCCGCCTCCTGTGTGCTGCTGTACGCCGCCAGCGTTTGGTGCATATGCTCCGGCATACATGGCTGTGTGCTATGCTCGGTTTTTGCGATCGATTTGTGAATGATGCCGCCTTTGCTCCTGTTGCTAGTAAAACGGGACAAAGCAGAGTGGGGAAGTGTCAAGTAAAATAAACACACGACACGCACACACTCACACACAGGAGAAGCACAGCGAGAGAGACAGAGAGAGAGAGACGTAACGGAATTAAAGAGAGAGCGCGACTTAGCACTTTTATAACTGTTCGTTCAGCTTTCAGCACTCTAGCGTGCCCACCATCTCTCTCTCTTTGCCTATTCCTGCCTGCTAGTGCACAAAATATGATTAGAAAGATACAGCGGATGAAACGGAACTCTGCCCAAAATTGATTCGCTGTGGCTCAGGTTGACCGCATCACGAACCCACCCACCACGGAGAAAAAATCAATACAGCATCGCTACGGCAAAATGCATGGCCAGAGCGAGAAAGGGATACGAGTAGACGGAGAGCACAGTGAGAGAGTAAAGGCCGAGAACAGCCGCACACACAAGAAATGCATTTGACTTACCTTTTTTCCTTTGGTTGCACTTTGCGAAATTTTCGCAGCTCTTTTAAACTCGACTTGCTGACTTTTGTTGCATGTATGTGTACGCGTTCTATTGGTATTTGGTTTTATGCTTTTTTTCTTCCGATTTGCTCGTTACCACTTCGGTTTTCTTTTTTTACTCTCCCGTCGTCGTCACGCTCACGCCCGTGAAGTGGCGAGGTCTATGATTAACTTTAAATTGTTCACAGGAAATTTGTATTAAAACTATCTAAAACGTATAGAGGCGGTATTCGTGTATTTTAGATTTGTACAACAAAAAAAAACGCGTTTGTAGCAGCAAGTTGAGTTGAGAAACAATCGTTGCGATAATCGATAGTGCCGATGCCTACTCCACCGCTGCTTGACGGCGATACTTTGCCCCCACACATTATCGCAGCACAGTGGCAACCTTGTTGTTCAAAATAAAAACAACTTTTTTATATTTTTTAATAGTAATAGTTATATACAATTATCTAACACATTTTGCTGGAGGCCAGCCGGACAAGCAGTTTCCGTCGATCCTCATCCATGCTGTGCAAGAACTGCTGCACTCCCTCGCTGTGGAAGTCACTCCTCCATGCCAACTGTGCGCTCCGAATATGTTCCGCCTGCCTAAATTTGTCCAGCCGGTATCTGTCCCGCTGATAGGCTAGGATGCTGGCCAAAAAGTTCCAGAAGGTTATCTGAGGCCACAGGACATTGCTGAAGTACAGAACCGATCCGCTAAGCTGAAAATGTGAACCAATGAATGCTGATGCAATAGTCGAGCAAATGACAGCACCCACCTGCCACATCATGAAGTCGCTTAGCCTGGTCTCGCCCGAGGTGCGAAAGACCAGATCGGGGGCTGGTGAGTGCCTCGTGTACATACACTCCTCCAGGAGCCGCTCACTTATGTTACTCCCGATGATGGAGTTATTGCTCTGCTGCAGCACCGTCTCCAGCGCCTGGGTCATCTCGTCGCGAGAGGTGTAAGAAAAGGCCACGTTCAGAAAGAGCTTGTTGTTATCCTCCGTAGTCAGCATGGCCGTGGCAACGAGTTTCTGTAAGTCTAACGGCAGCAGCTCAATGTTGCCAATCACCCGGATACGAATCCCGTGCTGGTTCAGGCGGTCGGTCTCCTTCAGCAGCTTTCCAAACTTGTCCCGAGCCAGGTTAAAGAGGCCCTCGACCTCTTCGCTGGACCTCTTGAAGTTCTCGATGCTGAAGGCAAACGTGGTCACCTCGCGTATGCCTAGGTCCAGACACCAGCGAAGGCAGTCCGCCAGCTTCGAGAAGCCACGCGAGTGTCCCTCTATCTTATCTATTTGCTGGGAGCGGGCGAATCTACGGTTGCCATCCATAACGAAGGCGACGTGTTTGGGTATGTGGCCACAGGTCCGAAGTGCCCGCATGAAAATCCTCTCCAGCCATGTATACTCGTAGTCGGCAACCCACGACATGATGCTTATCGTCCTTTTACTCTATTATAGTTCCACAAAGCGAGGCCAACATCCAGGTAAGACTTTATTTGTGTTGTTTTGGTTTTTTTGGTGTCTTGTGATAATGAAAAATATCGAAAGTGAGAATTGCGGTTCACATCGATACACTAATTAATTTGCATTGCGATAGATCGATTGTGAAATGCAACCATGTGTTGGGCGGGCCATCTGCCCATACCTAAGTGGCTTAAAATCAACCCTGCATTTCTGACAGCTAAGACAGCTTCCTTTTTTGATATCCGGTTCACGCAAGTGGTTCGTTTAATATTTTGTCCACCAATTTTTCATAAAAGATTGCATTATACAGCCGTGTAAGGCTCAAATAATGTGTGCCAGTTGCGGCCTGCTTAGCAGCTTTAATGGAAAACCCATCCAAAGTGCCCTGCATGAGCTAACTTTGGCAATTTTTTTCTTGTGCTGTTTTTTTTGTTTTGTTTGTGATCTGTGCCAGACCCATTTATACATATATCTGCATTCCTTTTTTTATGCAGCTACTGATCGACTAACAACTCAACAATGGCTCCCAGAAAGGCTAAAGTTCAGAAGGAGGAGGTGCAGGTCCAGCTGGGACCCCAGGTGCGCGATGGCGAGATCGTCTTCGGAGTGGCCCACATCTATGCCAGCTTCAACGATACGTTTGTGCACGTTACTGATTTGTCTGGGCGCGAAACCATTGCCCGCGTCACCGGAGGCATGAAGGTCAAGGCTGATCGCGACGAGGCTTCTCCCTACGCCGCTATGTTGGCTGCTCAGGTTAGTTTTGATTCTAATTCAAGTGCCAGCAACATCTAAGCGCGTGTTTGTCTTCCCAGGATGTGGCTGAGAAGTGCAAGACTCTCGGCATAACTGCCTTGCACATCAAACTGCGTGCTACTGGCGGCAACAAGACCAAGACCCCCGGACCCGGTGCCCAGTCCGCTCTGCGCGCTCTGGCCCGTTCTTCGATGAAGATTGGTCGCATTGAGGATGTTACACCAATCCCATCCGATTCCACCCGCAGGAAGGGCGGTCGTCGTGGTCGCCGTCTCTAAGCTGTACGATTTCTATGGAGTGTATTTCAGTATCGAGACTACAAAAATATTGCGTTTACGTATGTAAAATAAGATTTACCATGCATATATACGTTGTAATAAAGCTGGAGAACCTTATGTAAGCGTTACGCGAAGTTTGTGCATTTTGTTTTGGGTAAAAAATAGGTTTTTAATAACATATTTGCAAGTGTTTACAAATTTGGACACTGCTGCAGGGCTGCCGTATCTTGCGCCAGCCACCGATAGAAGTGGCAGCCCTCAAATGCAGCCCTGCCATGACGTTTCTATCGCGCAATCAGCTGTGAAGTTGCCGCTTTCTTTTTTCGTATCCGGTTCACGCATTTGGTTCGTTTGTGATTCTCTCCCACTTATTTTAATCAAAATAACACGGTTTTCGAATTAATCGGAACAAACGGCAATATGCAGCAACTAGTGCAAACGATTGACTATGCAAAACTACACTTAAAACTGACAAATTGCCATTGGGCAGGGCCGATGCCGCCAAATTATTTTGTTATATTTTTGTTATGGTGCCAAATTGTTGATGTTGTTGTTTCGCTAGTGACATTGCTGCATAGTGGCCCGACCTGAAGGCTCAACTGAACTGTGTGTTTCGCATTTTACTTTTCCCCCAACAGCTGCTGATCGACCTCACACTGCAGAATGGCTCCCAGAAAGGCTAAAGTTCAGAAGGAGGAGGTGCAGGTCCAGCTGGGACCCCAGGTGCGCGATGGCGAGATCGTCTTCGGAGTGGCCCACATCTATGCCAGCTTCAACGATACCTTTGTGCACGTTACTGATTTGTCCGGGCGCGAAACCATTGCCCGCGTCACCGGCGGCATGAAGGTCAAGGCTGATCGCGACGAGGCTTCTCCCTACGCCGCTATGTTGGCTGCTCAGGTAATCCGTAGCCATATTGCAAATGAAGTGACCGTCTAAACAGCTTCTTTTCTTTTTAGGACGTTGCTGAGAAGTGCAAGACCCTTGGGATCACTGCCCTGAACATCAAGCTGCGTGCCACTGGCGGCAACAAGACCAAGACCCCCGGACCCGGTGCCCAGTCCGCTCTGCGCGCTCTGGCCCGCTCTTCGATGAAGATTGGTCGCATTGAGGATGTCACACCAATTCCATCCGATTCCACCCGCAGGAAGGGCGGTCGTCGTGGTCGCCGTCTGTAAACGTCTGTTCATTGCTTGTTCCGCACACGTTATATCGGCCCTGTCGCATATAAATGGTAGAATAGAAGAAGCAAGGCGCTGCGTTATTTTTTTTATATGACTATGAATACATCTGATAATGTAGAGGAAATACAAAAAATCTGAAAAATGAGTGCAATTCGGCAGTGGAGAGTTTTGGGCGGGCACTTCGTATTTAAATCTCTTTGTTGGAGAGGGGACTGCTGGGAGAGGTTAATTTTGATTGCCGGTAAGGTTACCTGGCTGGACCAAATGGCAGGGTGGCATTTACCGCGGAATCGGCACCTTTACATCGATAGCAGGCAGGTTGCTGCTTTTATCGAGCAGTTCTTCTTCTTGCCGTCATCGTGTCGACGCCTCACTGTGACTGGCAATTTGGCCAGCAGCTCCGCATAGCATTGCAGATAAAATTCATATACATATACAATTATACAGCCTGTGGTGTGTAGGTTCGTAGAGCAAATCGAAATTTGCAGTAAAAAGTCACTATCTTGGCAACCTTAGCAACATCAATAATACGCAATTGATAGCACCAAGGCACGGGTCAGCCGACGAGTGCATCCAATTGATGGATAATACGAGAAAATAATCGTAATTGGCAAGTTCAATGCACGAATAATATATTTGGTTATATTTGTGAGCAGTGTGCGTGAGTGTATTGGTGCTTGATAAGTATATGTGTCGATTTCTTATTCACTAAAACTCCTTCTGGATATGGTGTCGTTGTCGGTCGTGTGAAAAGTGCGTAAAATCGAAATCCTCCCACGCAACAGACCCCACATCCGATACCGAGGAAGAGACCGAGTCCGAGTCGGAGGCCGATTTCGAGTTCCGAGTCTGAGACCGAGTCCAGAGTGCGACTGCACCGTTCCGTCCCCATTCACAGGACGGACGGGATGGATGTAGCAGGTCGGCTAAACAACGTCAAGAGAGAGCGAGCATAGAACACAGAAGGCGGAGATGTTTAGGCGGCTCGAGAGCTGAGCAATCCAGTGAGCAGTGAGCAGTGACTCAAAGTCAAAAATTTGTTGTTCTCGTTCGGTGTTGTGAAATTCTCCGTAATCTCTATTTAGGATTACATTCTCCCGTGCATCTAAAAGTCTAAATTCTCAAGCGAATTCTATAGCTAAATTTTGAGCCGAGCCAAACACACACAAAAAAAAAAGAAAAAGAAAAAAAGAATCACCGACTGCTGCTCAACGAGGCAGTAGTATATGAAGAAGAAGAGCGTCAAAGAAAAAAAAACTTGTTTGAAAAAACAAAAAAAAAGACAAGAAAAGAAAAGACCGAACAGAACAGAACGAAAAGACGGACGCAAGACGAGACGAGACGCCCAAAGAAGCTGAAGCAGAATCAGAATCAGCGTGGATCTCTCTCTCTCTGGGCATCGTTTCCTAGAGAATCGCCCCAGAGCAACGACGTCGTCCGCGACGTCACCAAAATACAACACAACGTAGAATCAGAAGGTGGTCCCAAACAGGAACAGGTATGGATGAGGATGACAACCTGTCAAATGCCGATATCAGCATCGATGAGGAGGATGACGATGGGGACAGGGCCCGGGCCATGGTCCAGCCCATGGTAGACGATGATGATGATGACGACGACTCCGATGTGGACTTGTCATCGGTTTATGTGCAGCCGGCTGGCCATGTATCCATAGGTTTGGATAATAGTGCAACCGGTGCCGGTGAAGCCGCATCTGCCCGCACGATTGGGGAAGGGAGTGGCCCTGCCCCTGCCAGTGTCGCAGGAGCCAGAGCTGGGAATTCCCGTTCGCCGTTGCATGACAAGTACTCGAGTGCCACAGCGGCGGCTTCTGCGGCAGGCAGCAGTGGACGCTATGGAGCCGGGAGTTCGTCTGCTGCTGGAGCAGAAGCAGGAGCATCAGCAGCAGGAGGAACAGGAGCAGCCGGTGAGGATGCTGGTGCCAAACCGAGCTTTTTCTTTGGCACCTCCTCGTTCAGCCTACGCAGCCGCAAGGAGGTGGCCGCCCTCATCAATACAGAGTGCTGCCGCGGCAGTCCCACACCCGATCTGGACTCTATTATGGATACGCTCTTCAATCCCGGCACGCCCATCGATAATCCAGACAACATCGAGTGGATACGCTGGCTAATCGCTGGTGGCCGTACACCGCAGGAGTTTGTCAAGATTGGTGAGTGCTCATTCGCAGTGAGAGAGGAAGAAACGAGAAGTGCGCCCTGGTTCATGTTCCGTCCATGTGCCAGCTGATCGGCGGTCCGTTGCCCCTGAGAGGTGGTAGCAAGGTGTGAGTGGCGGGAGGGGGATACCCACACGTACCTGCGCTCTCTGCCGCGTATATGCCTGTGTATGTGTGTGTGGTGCCGTGTCTGCGGTAAATTGTAAAGGGCACGCAAGGGAGTGAACGGCAGGCAAGGTAGCCAAGGTGCAAGGCAGCGTGAAGAGTGCATCACCATGGCAACAGCGAAACATACATGTACATAATACATACGTACATAATGTATAAACTTCCCGCACTTACAGCTGTACACCTACTTGCCAGTACAAATTAGCCCAATTTAATCCCGACTAATCATCTATTTTCAAATGCTCTCTTGCATTTGCTGCTGCTGCAGCCAATTTTATTATTATTATTATAATTTTTGGTGCCAGGCTGCGTAAGTCACCTAACTCTGGGTTGTTTTTATAGTTTCTCGTTTTGTTTTTTTTTTGTCCCACTTGTCGGCTCACTCGCTCGCTCACGCACACACGCACAGTGGGGACTGCAGCTTGACACCTTGTGGCCGCCGCCCGCTGCCTCTGTGTCAGCTGTTCCTGTGCAGTTTTGCCTTGCGTAATATTCTTACCCAGCATCAGCAGCAGCAGCAGGCAGCGTTTGCATCTAGGCGCATCCGTCCACCGTACGCACACATTCATACAAACATACATACAAACATACATACGTACATAGAGAGCATGCACATCTGGCATCTGGTTTGGCACCTCTCTGTCACCGTTTTGCTGGAGTGTTGCTCTATTTTATAATACCCTACCCTTGCAGAAAAGAGCACACTCGACTGAGGCGGTCTTGATTGCTCGTGCTCCCATTGTGCGGCGAATAAACACCACCGAAAGAGCATTGGAATGTGTCCTACCTTTTGTGTTTGTTTTCAATTGTTTTACTGTAATGGCTTGTAATGAAGAACATTTGCGAGATCTAAACAATTGCAAATGTAAATTGGTACATGCATACTGCACATACAGACACTTGTGGGATAACTTTAACCGACTCTGGCCGTCCATCCGTCCCATAGCATTGCTGTGTCGATTTCGACAATCCAAAGTGTTATTAGACTATGTACCACTACATTTTGCGACTTGTCATCAACATCGTGTCATCCTTATCACTCGCAAGCATTTGCATATGTACAGCAATTGCCTGACCGTTATTTCATTGTTACTGCTTGCATTTTGTATGCATCTTCTTTCCTTTCCCATGGCCGTGTGCGTTTATGTGTGTTTGGGTGTGTGTGTGTGTGTGTGTGTGTGCGTCTAGTGCGGAGAGTTGCCAACTTGTCTGACGATCGATCGATCGCCATTTCGAAAATGGCTAATCAATTTTTCGCTGCGTTCGCTATTGTTTTTATTGTTGTTGCTGGTTGCTGCTTTCGATTGATTTCCTTCCGCATGACCTTTTCATCGTAGCTGGCGACAGCCACAGCCACAGCCACATCGAACAAGGTCCGCAACGCCCCAAGACAACAACAAGTCACGCAACGAGCAACAAGCGAAGAAATTAACTAAGCAATCCGAAATGAGTGCATCATTTATTTTTGGAACCCTATCAAATCAATGGCAACATCCAAGGCAAGAGGCAAAGGCAACGCCAAACACACACAGCCTACAACCTTGTCGCATCATCAAACATTTACATCAAAAAACCCGAAATGAAATGCATATAAACTAAACGATTCTTGATTTTCATTTTGCAGTGCGCAGCTATGACAACCATGCCAAGTGCGGCCTTGTGTGGGTGCCCCATGTTGTGGCGTATCGTTGCCGTACCTGCGGCATCTCGCCCTGCATGTCCATCTGCCGGGACTGCTTCAAGAAGGGCAACCACACCAACCATGACTTTAACATGTTCTTGTCGCAGGCTGGCGGTGCCTGCGACTGCGGCGACACGTCCGTGATGAAGGCCGAAGGATTCTGCAGCGACCATGGCATCAATAATCGCGTCAATCGTGATCCCGTGCCCAACAATCTGCTGGCCGTGGCGGAGGCCATTATGCCAAAGCTGTTGTTCCGCCTGTTGCAGCATTTTCGGGAGCACAGTGACACCTCGCTGCAGTTGCACGCAATGACCTCGGACTCGTGCGAGGAGTTCGCCAATATGCTGATCGATCTGAACAACATGGGAGAGATTATGCGCAAGGTGATGACGCGCACCCTGATCAATCACGAGGTGTACGCCTACTTCATGGAGACACCCTGCCAGGACACACGCAACGGACGCTTCCTCAAGGCGAATCGCGAAAAGTACGAGGATGCAGTCAATAGGTTTCCAAATCCAGAGCCACCCGACGAGTACCGTGACCTGCCGGCGCTCTGCGAAAAGCTGGTCCACACTACACTGCTCGAGGAGTTCATATTCTGGACATTCAAGTTCGAGTTCCCCCAAACGCTCGTCTGCTTTCTGCTCAACATGCTGCCCGATCAGGACTACAAAGTGAGTCGCAAAACGTTTTGCTCTTTATGCTTTATGATTGACTTTCTCTTTTGCGATTTACCAGGAGCACTTGACCCGCACCTTTGTCATGCACTACAGCCGCATTCCGTCCGTGCTGGAGATGTCACGCGATCCGGATACGCTGAGCAACCGTGTGGTACACATGAGCGTTCAGCTCTTCTCCAACGAGAGCCTTGCCCTCAAGATGGTCAACGAATTGTCGCTGCTGCATGTCATGATCATAAGCCTGAAGCTAATGATGTCCAAGATTCTCATCCAGAATACGCTGCAAGGTAAGGGCCACACCCATCAGCTCTATCTGCATTATATAACTTTTAATTTTGATTTTAGATCCCGCCAAGAACTTTCATTTTGTCATCGATTGTACGCGCCAGGTGATGAAGGATCATTGCTACTGGCCGCTTGTCTCGGACTTTAATAATGTGCTATCGCACGAGTCGGTGGCTTTGGTCTTTCTGCGGGACGACAACCTCATCGACATGTGGTTTCAGTTCCTACAAATGCTACAGGGCATGAATGTGAATGTACGGGAGACGGCCTCACATGTCGAATTCGAACCGAATAGCTACTATGCGGCCTTCTCCTGCGAACTGGAGGCCAGCGCCTATCCCATGTGGTCAATCATTTCACATCTGCAGGACGGCACCCATGCCCATCTGGCCAAGAAGATAATCAACTATTGTGTAACGACGCTGCACGAGTGGCTCGATTCGATCTACTTTATGGAGGCCAGACTCTCAATGGTGCGTTTCCTGCTGCTCTTCTGCTCTGACATACTTTTGCTGATACTCGTTTTTGCAGGAGGAAATGATGCAGGCCTCATTCCATTTTCCGCTGCATCGATATCTGGCCGCCTTTGTCTGTCAGGCGGTCACCAAAATGGGCATTCCTCTGAGTGAAGTGCTGCCCTCGCGACCGTACCTCTTGCCGCTATTGATGATCCATCCGCTGCGTGTTCAGGTGAGTTTTTTGTGCTGTCTGATATGATGTGATGTCCACCTATACAGAGCTGCGAATGTGGGGTTTCAATTCTCAGTTTAGGCAGCTTATTAAGTTCTCAAAATGCAATACCAAAATGCTGTCTCTAGACCCAAATAACCAAAGACAATCTTCAATGTTTCGGCAAGCGACAGACACAGCAAATTTGTTGTTTCGTGTCTTGTTTTTGTTCTCTTTTATTTATGGCTAATTCAAATTTTATTTCATTTATATTCTCTTCTCGCGTCCGTTTCGAATTCTCTCACTAAAAACTACACGAAATGAATTGCAGTTGGATGCATTTTGTAGGTTGTTTGTGGGTAGTAGTTGTACAACTAAGAATGCTATAGAAATATGTGCTCCGAATCGATGCCAATTAAACAGAAACGATCCGGAATTGCTAGAGTTATTCTAAAATTTGTTCTTGGGCACCTGGACATGGGGCGTAAAGTCATAGGTGATGATTTTCGGACCCAAGAAGCCGCCATAGCCGTTGCGACCCTTGTAGTAGATGCCAATACCCGACAGTGGTACTGCTGGATTCGATATCACATCCTGTATATCCATAAATGGTACTGTACTCTGAGCCGCATCCTTGTCCATACCCGTGTTGGTGAACTCAATATACTGATTGTGGCGTGACTGAGGTATCGAGTAGGTAATGGTACGAGTGGATACATCCGCATTCGAAAGGCTTACTTTCTCCCTGCACACCACAAAAGAGACAGAGAAAGAGATGTTAGGATTTTTGTCAAGAACTCGAATGCCTTGTGGATAGCTCACCTGCGCGTCTTGCTGTCACCGCTGACATCGGTGTTGTCGTTAGATTTCCAATAGCTGTTCACCTCCGGCTGCAGCAGCTGGCCCGTCTTGAAATCGAATTCGCTGTAGCAGGCCTCCAGATTCAGGTGGGCACCCACCACACGAAAACGCACACCAGTGACCACAAAGCTGTTGTCATCCGTATCGACATCGTCGAGATCAATGGAGCGACTCTCATAGCTGAGTGTGTGATAGTCTTTGCCCTTCTTGACGTCACGATCAAAGATGTTATAATTCTCGACGGGCTTCCATGACAGTGTCGTGTGATTGATGCCGCCGCGCGGCAAGAGCTCTCCCTCCTGTATCTGCAGATGGAAAATGCGATTCTTCTTCACAAAACGCAGTCCAGTCACGACCCTAGAAAGTAGTATCAAATGGAAGGGTGGAGTTAAAGGATTTATCCTTGGGATCCCTGCCTGCACGCTCACCTGTTGCTCTTCACATCGGACACTGCTTCGCGTAGATTGAAGAAACGATCGGATTTGAGACCCTGCTCGTCGCACATGCAGAAGCAGTAGCTGCAGTGCCACAAAAGGTAACGCCACCAGCTGTCCACCTTGGTTGTGCCGCGTACACAGTTTGCACGCTGACCCAGCGTCCGTCCGTTCTCGTACTCGATGTACTCGTATCGCCTGGTGCTGTTCTTCGCCGAGGGGCACACCCACATGTCCGAATCGATAAATTGGCAGTTGTACAGTCGGCCCGAGCACTTGGGCTGACGGGCGCAGTAGAGATCCTTGTAGCAGCCTTCGCTGCGTGTCGACTGGTAGAAGGAGCAGGTCTCGCGGCATGTCTCCTCGTTGTTGAGATCCACCTCGTTCTCGATGTAGCCCTGAAGTAAGCGTGTCACCTCGTCGTAGGTAACGCCAGCCACATGCTTCTTGGGATCACAGCGCCAGACAATGCGATCGGCGCGCGTCATCACATCCTTCAACAGCTTCAGCGTACGCTCCGTGCGTCGCTCGTAGTCGGTGCGCATCAGTTCGGCTTCCTGTGTGAAATTTCCCTTGCCATAGACGCGCAGCATCATCCACGAGAACTCCATCATGGTGTAGGCCTTCAGCTCGGTCAATGCGATGTCCGCATACAGAGAGTACACAAACTGTTGCGCCGACTGTAGGGTGTTGCATATTTCGTTTGTAGAAGCCTGTTAAAATGGTGAAAATTCAAACATTAATTTTGGTTAATCAATTACTCGGAACCAGCAGCAGCAGCAGCCCTGACATCTGTTTTGGCTAAGCAATTAAGCAGCCGCACTGCCCCCTATCGATAACGGGAACACCTAATCAGCTCACATCTGGCTGTTAAATTGCTGAAATAACATGCCAATTATCGGAATGTGTACACGGACGGGACACTTTGGTACTCGGTACATGGTGGCACCTAAACGTAGAGATGAAGCGAGGGCGGTCTGACTGTCTGACTAACCACCATGGCTCTGTAGTAGAGTGTTTGCTGGACCATCACACGATGTATATCCTGCAGGATGCGGGCAGTATTACTCTCGTGAAAGACAGTTTGGACGAAATCAAGAATATCACGCTCATCCAGCTGGCCCTGGCCATTGTTGTTCTGCTTCGACAAAGTGTCCTGTTTGGGGTGGTACCAAAGAAGAAAGGGTTAGCTTTTCGTCTCTCTCGTGTGTGTTTGTTTCTTCGCCCTGTACCTTGTACTCTTCAAATAGTTGGCTTATGTGCTCCAATTCCCGCTCCAGAATCGTCCATTCGTAGTGTTTGAGGATCTCATAGCGCTGCATGGCAAAGGTGTGCTGCATGAAGGGTTTCCTATTGAAGTCGCGATGCGAGACAAAGATCTTGCGCAGCTGCGTCTCCTTGTTGTTCTGACTGTTTGCCGTCTTCTTTAGATAATCCCAAAGATCCCGCTCCAGGCTTATGTACTCGGTGCGCAAGGCGTCCACCTGCATAATGGGTGTGCGCTTTTCGCTGACGACTCCCCCCAATGTGGCCAGGGCTAGCAGTACAACAAAAACGACCACATCCGTGGGTCTGTGGCCCTGGACAGCTGCCGCTGCCGCTGCCGCCATCTTGGTTCGGTCGTCGGTTCTGTGCTGATAGCCAGCCACTTATCCGCAGCAAATAGGGGGAATTCCTTAACTTTTTTTCTTTTTTACACAATTTCCTCAAACTCGGCGTAGTAGGCAGTTCCGACGTTGCTCTGATTGCCAGTATTTCCTGCTGGACATTCGGTGATATCGAATCTCTCTCTCTGGCCAGTTCCGCACTGGGCACTGGAGTCGAGTTGTCTCGCTTTAAGACAAAGACTACGGCTGCTACGGCTTTTATAGCTGCGATTTGTTGTGTTTTGTTTGCTGCTGCCTGAGTGAGGCGATGAGGCTGGAATGTGGCCAACAGCGCAGGCACATTTGCAATTGTGTATTTATTTTTTTCCAAACCAAAGCAAAGCGGATAAATGTGTGCTCGCACTTTTTGCGATTTATTTTAATTCGCTCACTTTTTTCGGTGTGTTCTGAGTACTGCTGGTGCTGTCGTTGTTCTGTTACTGTAATTTTTCTGTTTCTGTTTTAAAGCGCTCGCTCTCGGCTCCGCTCCCAATGCATGTGTGTGTGAGTGGTGAGTGTGTGCTTGCTCGTTTGCGAGTGCTCGCGCGCTCGTATTGGTAGGTCGTGCACGTTTAAAAATCGCTGACTGAAGCTCTTTTTCTATTGTTGTTGGTGTTTTTTGTTTTCTTGCCAGACGATGGGAAGCGTAAACACACACCCGCATACATCGACAGCGCTTGGTGTGGGCAAGTATGGGTGAGCGTCCGCAATCTCAGTATAATTTCGTGCCACAAAAAAATTTAGCAAAATCGTTTGATTCTTATTCGGTTGGAGAGACTGTTGACATACGCTACATTTGAAGCAGGTTTTGGGTTTTGCTTCCCCTACACCCTACTATTGTTTTATTTTCTGCGATCGCTGCCAAAGTGCCAAACCACATGCGATAATCCAGTCGGTAACTAGAAAGTGGGTTTTGTGACGTCACGCCATCTAATTGGCATGTACAACAGTTGTGCGCTCTCTCAGGTGCAAGCAGCTCTGGTCTGCGCTCTCTCAGGTCAGGTCTTGTGCTGCAGTGCGTAAGCTCTCCCTCGGCGTGCTCGTTTTCTCTTTCAATGTATCCATCTCTCTCTGACGCAGTGCACACAAAGAGCTCTGCATGGGGGCGGCGTTGCTGCAATGCCCTCTGTCGTATGTTTGTTTGGTGCCTCTGTTTGTGCAGTCTTTGTTAACACCAGACCTTTGACCTCTTTGTGCGTATACATACACCCACATACACAAAGAATAAAGGGGGTGCGAGGCGAGAATTTGCAATCATTTTGGCGAGCCAGTTTCTGGACAGCAAATTCAATGAATAAAGTGCGTGAGCACGGCAAAGCCGTTATGACAAAGCCGAAGATGACTAATCGCGGACTTTCTTTTGCCCAGCCGAGAGTAAAAAATGAAGAGGGAATGGATCCCAAGAATACGGAATACACAATCAGATCGTGACGAAGAGACAACCGGAAAGTCGAGTTTAGTTTAGGGTACCCAGACCAGACGCCCGCCCAATTCTGGGAAACAACTTAGCCTAACGCGCATGATTCACGTAGGAAACGAATCTACTCTGGTGATTGATGCCTGGGCATTAAATGGGCATGATCAGTGCCTAGGAAGAGTTACCTCATAGCTGGTTACCAGTTGGGCGAGCAGGCTGCTGCTGCTGCTGCTGGTGCCCGTAGTGTTGGCCTTTTCCTCGCTTCCGAAGAGCGTGAGATGCAGACGGTCCATCAGGTGGTGCACCGAATGGGCATTCGGGGAGACTGTCCACTCGGCGAACGTGACAAGGGTGGACATCTCTAGCTTGTCCTTGTGGGCTTCGTATTTCTGCATCTGCTGGTAGCGCGAAGAGATCCGGTTGACCGTGTCCCCGATGTCGTTCATCTTGGCCAGCATGGGGGCATTGAGGTTCATGTGGCTGGTCACCGTGTCTATGGCCAGGGCCACATACTCGGCGTGCTGAAAGTGTTCGGATGTTGGGTTACTGTACGCTGTTGGGTGGTTTATCACTCTGTGTATTACTTGCTCCTCGGTCTGGTCTATCTGTCGGGTGACCTCTTTCAGGCGCTGCAGCACCTTTTTCTGCTTTTCGCGCATCAGGGGAAAGTCTATGTTGGCCCCCAAAGGTGAGGCCTGCACAATGTCCCAGGCCTTCAGTATGCCCGTGGACACCTCCTTAACGACGTGTATGATGTCCAGCACATCTTCAATCACGGCCGTCGTTGGGGCGGGCTGCTGGAGTGTTAGCAGCAAGGCCAGAAACAGGGGAATAAACCGTTTCATTGCAGCTCGCATCTTGATTTTGGCAGGTTTGTGGTGTGGGCTGAGCGGTTGCTGCGTGTGTGGGTTCAGTTCAGGCGCGTGTGCCTTTAAAGGTTATAATATTGAGACACAAAAGCACGCGACTACACCCGTTGAAATTTGAAAAACGAATGCGGGATGCCGGACACCACCAGAGAGCACACAAGCAGAGCAGAGATGCGCTCGCTGCTGCGCCTGATACTAACTTGGATTGATTAAAATAAACGCATACAGACGGGTACGAGACAGTTTTTTAATTCACATTTAAGCAGTGTGCGCATCAGTTTGTGTGTGTGTGCCGTTTTTGCTGTCGCCATTGTTGTGTGTTTTTCTTTGGGTTTACAGTTCTTTCTGCAGCATTAAGTGTGAATGGGATAGCAGTATGTATGCTTGACTTGGGCTGTTTAGAGTTGCTTTCCCGCTAGTTTCGATAGCTGTCATCGATAGGGGGACTAAGCGATATTTCCGCTATTTTCAAAACACTAATTTTGACTATTTGTATTGTTTTTATTTGTTTTTGCAGAGCTTCTTCTATGAAATTTTGGCTGGCAAATGGGTGCGAAATGGACTTCAGATCAAGGGCCAGGCCATGACCTACATACAGGCCAACTTCTGCAACTCGATGGCGGACATGGATCTGTTCTTTCTGCAGATCTGCGCCACCAATCTGCCGCAGTACTTTTTCCTGCAGAACACCATCGAGCTGTTCGATGTGGACCAGTGGCTGGAGACGGCGCCGCTGAAGCAGCCCCAAAAGGCGGAGCAATCCTCGATGCTGGAGGGCTTCCTCACATTCCTCGCCACCCTGGTCACAAGTCGCACGAATCTGGGCAACGATGAGGCAACCCAATGCATCATCGAGATCAGCGCCCTGCTGGCCACCGAGAACAAGACACACTCGCAGCTGCTCGAGCTGATGCCGGAACGATCGGGCAATGTCCACACCAAAAACTTTGAGACGTTCCTCAAGAAGCTGTCGGTGTACAAGGCGCCGTCCAGTGGATCCGAGAATCTCGAGCAGGGCCTTTTCACGCCCATCGACGAGGTGTGGGAGAAGTACTATGATCCGCTGCACGTCCTCCTGCGTGCGGTGCATCGTCGCGACTTTCAGTCCTCGCTGGATCGCTTCACCAACTACGTGAAGGCAAAGGAGAAGATGCCAGCCAGTGGCAATCTGTGGCCGCCATTCCGTCTGCCGCAGGCACTGCCCACGACCAGCTCCTTCACCGATCCCTGCCGCATACTGAACTCACGGGTCTTCCACTCCACCATCCTCTCGATCTTCTTCCGGGCCGTGCACACGCGCGATGTCTCCGAGCATCTGCTGGCCCTCGCCGTCTTTCTCCTCGAAATGGCCGTCGAGACGAGCAGCGATGTAGGCGACAGCCCGCCGGCGGCAGCGGCCGCCATGGTGGAGTGCAGCGGGGGTGGCGGTGGCGCTGGGGGATACCATCATGGATACAACCAAGGCAGGCAGGAGCCGCCGCGACTCTTCCAGTGCTATCCCACGGACAATCTCAGCTGCAACCTGCGGCACGTGGTCAACAAGTTGTCGCTGAAGTCACGCGATCCGCAGGTGATTGGCTCCAGCTATCGCTCGAATCCGTTCTACTCCGATCTCGAGTTCGATGTGGATCCGGACGCAGAGATGGGCATGCGGATGATCGGCCAGCTGGAGTCGGATGGCGATGAGGCGGCTGGCGGTGGTCTACCAGGAGCAGGCGCTGGATCGGGTGCGGCGCCGGGACCGGGTGCCATGACTGTGGCACGCAGAAGCATGTCGCAGGCTCTGGTGCCCATGCGCATGCCCGGCATGGAGGTGGCCCTGCCACCGGATCTGTCCGTTGTGCCAGAGACTGGCGTCATCATCCGGCAGGACAGCAACGAGGATGACCTGCTGCGTGACAGGGATACGGCCATGGATCTGGGGCCCGCTGCCCTTGACTTTCACTTCCCCATGCAACAGATAACGCTGCCAGAGAGCGGCATGGAGGTGGCAATACGGCGCGATCTGCTGCTGGCCGAGAGCAATCATGTGGCTGGTGGTGCAGCAGCGGGCGTTGGCACTGGACCCCCAGCGCTGGCTGCGCCCAGCGAAATGTTCTCCCCGACAACGCCCACCGGCAGCGGTATGCTGCTTCCGTTCCAGCGTGTCCAGCCGGTGGCTGTGCCGAGCAGCGGCAACATGGACATTGTGCCCTCGAATGCACTCGGCATGGGCAGCTTTACGGGCAGTGGGCGGCGCATGAACTACGACGCCACAGGGACGCGCAAGCGATCCGTGGACATAGCCATTGGTGGCAGCAACAAGGATGACCTCCACATGGACGAGAGCATCCTGTCGCTGCTGCTGAAGCTGCACTCTCAGCTGAGCGGCACACTGGACAGCTTTTCGCTAAGCGATGGCGAGGAGTGCACAGAGCTGGGATCCTCCACAGAGATGGATCAGTCCATGGATGTGGACTGCAATGAGGCAAGCACATCGACGGCAGCAGCAGCGGCCGAGAGCACAGCCCAGGCCGAACGACACGGACGTGGGACGCGACGCAACTACACAAACATTCATGTGTCCGCTTCGAGGATCGGCGACGGGCCCTTCTTTATTGGGAATTTGCTGCGCAAGATTGCCAAAAAGGATGAACTGTGCGCGGTGAGCATCGATGAGATACGCGCGCGCCTTTGGCCCAATCAGCGCGAGAAGCAGGCGGAGGCGAGGGCGCGCGAGAGCAAGGAGAAGGAGGAGCGCCGCAAGAAGGCGCGCGAGCGTCAGCAAAAGATGATGCAAGACTTTGCGAACAAGCAGAAACAATTCATGCAATCGGCTGCAGCGGCGGCCAACAACATGGACAACGGCCTGGAGGATGACGACGATGAGGATCTGTACGAGGAGCAGCCGCGGGAGAAGGAGTACGATTGCATCATTTGCAATTGCACCACGGCCAGCACTGAAACGAATCCCATCGGGCTGGTCGTACTGGTTGAGTCGAGTGGCATTGTGGGCCATCGTCGGCGCATTGCGGAGCGTCTGCCGCTGCCGCTGGACGCTGGTGAAGAGCAACGGCTGGCCCGCAGTACACGGCTGGCCTCGGAGTTCAGCCGCCGCACAGAGCTGCTCAGCTTGAAGTTCGGCGACGAGTCCTGGTATCTGTCCAACAACATGGCCTACGACAATGGCGTCCATGTGCAGTCGTGCGGCCATCATGTGCATCTCAGTTGCCTGGAGGCGTACCTCAAGACGCTGTACACGACACAGCGGCAGCCGGTGCAGGATCGTGGCGAATTCTACTGCCCGGTGTGTCGGCAGCTGTCCAACTCGGTGCTGCCGCTCAGTCCGCAGCTGGACAGGCCCACGCATTTGGTCAGATCGGGCAATCAGCCGTTCGAGCAGCTGGTCGCCGATCTCTCGGATCTGATCAAGGAGAATGAAACGATGCCGGTAAGTGCAGGGGGGAGCATCCAATGTCTATTTCCTCCACTCATTCATTTGATTTCTGCAGCCATCTACAAAACTGACCGAGGCCATGGGCCATGCCATGGAGGTGATGACGAATATTTCACAGCGCAAAGTGAAATGCGCCTCCATCACGTTCCGCAAGCTGTTCATCTTTGTGACATCGATAGCGCGCACAAATCTGGAGGCGGAGATCATACAGCGCGGCGGCTCGCTCTGCACATCGAATGCGACGCGCTACAAGCCGAAGCGAGACTGCATTGTGCCACTGTTGCATGTGTTGTCGGTGCATGTGCGTGTCCTGGTCGAGTGGCCGCTCTGGAGCAGCTGGGCCTCGCTGGCGGGTCTGCCCGTTAGCGATGCGGAACCACTGCCGGCCCACTGCCAGGAGCTGATACCCAGCCTGCTGGCAGATCCCATTGCGCTGCTATTAAAGTTTATACTCCTGGCACCGCTGCACTTGGATCAGGGTAAGTAATTTTATTTGTTTTACCAGCGAGAAATGGTGGCTCATATCTCATCTCTCTCTAGATTACTTTACGTGCATGGTGAAGGTGATGTACAATTTGTTGTATTACCAAATTGTTCTACAACTGTGCGTCACGCTGACGGATCTCGAGTGTGATTACATTCTGGCATTATATGGCAGGAGCAGCAGCAGCAGCAGCCAGTCCTCAACGGAGGCAACAGCGGAAGCTGCTGTCATTGTTAGCTCCACCGTTGGTCCAGCGCCCGTGCCCAACACATCGTTTAGTCGTCGCAGCAGCTCGAGCCGTTTCAGTGGCCATCAGCAGCAGAGTGCCGCCCAGCTGGGACGTGCCATGGCCTTGGTGTTGGCCGAGACCGATTGCCTGATCAATTTGAGACGCGACAGCATAGCCAGCACCTCAGCGGCAGCGAGCAGCAGCAGTGCACACGCCAATAACAGCAGCACCAGCAGCAGCAGTAGCAGCAGCAGCAGCAGCGGTGCAGCAACAATGTCCGATGTCAACTTGAAATCAATGGAGCTGCAGCTGCAGTCGCTGTGCCTGCCATTCCTGCGTGTTGCGGCGCTGCTGCGTCAGCATTTGTATCGCCACGAGATGCCAGAGATATCAGCGCCGGGCTTGGAATTTGTGCGATTGATCTACTATCTGGAACTGGTCACCGATTCCATGGATTGGGACTGCTTCAATGCCAGCAAGGGTCTGTGCTTTATACCCGGCACCGAGCACTCACTGCCGCAGTTCTGGTGCAAGCAGCTGCGAGAAGTGCGACCACCGTCGGACACCATCCGTGAGCTGGTGCTGATCAATCAGCATTCGCTGTGGCAGCAGCCGCGATTGCTAGAGCTGCCACGCGAATACGAGCGTTTGTTCACGGTAAGCAGCAGTCATAATCCTTCATTTGTGATTCTGTTTATTGATTTTGCTCCTTGCAGTACTACCATGAGCGACCCTGCCTCAATTGCTACAAAGTTCCAAAGGAAAGTTCCATTTGCCTGCTGTGCGGGACGATTGTGTGCCTTAAGCAAAACTGTTGTGCGGAAAATGATTGCTGTGAGGCAGTTAGGGTAAGTTCTACACCTCTCGAATGCTGCCTGCACATTCACTTATTGTCGCTTTTGTGTCTCCCTCAGCACACACTATCCTGTGGCGGCGGCATTGGCATCTTTCTGGTGGTCACCTCCACGTACATCATTGTCATACGTGGTCGCCGCGCTTGCCTCTGGGGATCACTCTACTTGGATGACTTTGATGAGGAGGATCGCGATCTCAAGTGAGTTGATTTAGCCACTGCTCCATGGGTTTAAATAATAAATAAAACATTTATTTTTTAGGCGCGGCAAACCGTTGTATCTGAGCCAGGATCGTTTCAATTTGCTCGAGTCGCAGTGGCTCTCGCATAAGTTTGCTCATACAAAACACACCTGGGTGTTTCATCGCGATCTCTTGTGAAATATGGAAGATTTACTGCGCAGCATACAGGAGCTGGTTGGCCAGATTTAGCCTACAGGATGCCGAGCGGTTCCAGGGTGAAGCCAAAGCCTGTTTTTGCTGTCAGCTCCCACGCCTAGTCGTCCATCACCAGTCAAACCCAAAAAACCAATCTGACCCACCCCAGGCTACCCCCCCAGCGTACGTTTAAGATAGTTTTCAAATTGTGAAGGGAGGAGTGTGTGCACACCAGACAGCAGCAGGCAGACTAAATTCTTAATATAAATCTATATAAATATTGGACATAGAAATTATAGGCTGACCGAGCAGCACATGACATTAATTGGTCGTTGTTTCGTTCTGGCACAGCACATAGAGAGCCCTCCCCTCCCCCCGCGCAGCACAGGCAGCAAATCAATGATATTATCTATATATAAATATGATATATATATATGCAATTAATTAGTAATCAATGCAAATGACATATGTTGTAAAATGTAATTGTTTAATGGATAAGCACACACGCAAGCAAGCACCGCAACGCAGCTACATATATGTATATGTATATGTATATGTATATGTATGTATGTATGTATGTGAATCTCTAAAGCAAAAATCGAAGAAAATATTTAAATATATATTCGAATGAAATATATGCCCCATAAATCTATACATACATATATGTTTCGTGTTCTAACTATGGCAAGCCTTAAGTCTTAAGTCTCTTAACGCGATATCTTAAATATTTAAAAACACACACAAAAGAAAATGTAATGCAAATAAATTGTCTACTTTGGCCTCATGAGTTTGTGCATGTAAAAAACGAAAACGAATATGATAACTAAAATTGATCAATGAGAGATAGTTAATAAATAAATAAATCTTTATAAATGATGTACATGTATGTGTGTGCAAACCATGCGTAACAAATTGAAGGTAAACGAAACGTAATGAAAAAGCGAATTGTGAAATGCATAGAAAATAGAGCTGAGTGCATATATATAATAATTATAATAAGCAAGAAAATGTAGCAAGAGTGCAGAGTGTAGAGAGAGTGTGTGCAATGGTTGGACAATGAAGAGAGAGCAAGAGCTGGGCGATGGAGCTGTTACGGTATATTTGTTATTAGTTTTTACACAGATTGTGCGTTAAGTGTGCAGCTGCAATTTTGCATAATTGATGTTTGTTTAATAGTAATTATAAAGCGCTGCTGCTATATCTACACACAACAAATTGTACTATAAAGTCTATAGCTATTATTATTGTAAAGCGAGTGGAGAATTCATTTAATTTTTGTTCAGCAGCAGCTGCTTGCTGCTATTTCCTATTTCCATCAACTTTTGCATCGGCAACAAAAGCAATTAACACTTTTGCTGGTGTAATCGTATTCTGATTATATTTATGTATGTATTTACCTGGTCGTTTTGTTGCTCTGTTTGGGACTCTGTTTGCCTGGTTTTATCAGTGCCAAAATAAGTACCAACTCCACACTCAAAACCCCGAAACCAATCCCCAATCCCCAATCCCAATCCCACTCAATGGTTGACTCATTTGTTTGTGTGTTTTCTGTTTGTTTATTGTTCTCTACACTCCGAAAAATTTGTACTCCTGGGTATGTTGCGCATTGTAAATACAACTAAGCGAAGGATCATTTTGTAAATGTTGACAAAGGGGGCGGAACAGGAGTTCATGCATAGATGCATCTATGTATATCTTTTTTTTTTGCTGTATACACATAATACATATATACATTTATATATATATAGATATCTGCTATATATAATATATAAAATCACAAGTTTTTTCTTTTTGTTTTTTTTCTAGTAGTAGTTGTAGTTGTAGTTACGTAAATCTAGAAATTTCGGTTTGGTTTTTTGGGTCTCAAGAGCGAATCTCGGCGAGATTCCATGCCACACATAGACACGCAAGAAGCACGCAACTCGAAATATGTATCCATTCTGTTTAGCAAAAAAACCAACAACAAAAAAACCCCGAAACAACAAATTTAGAAGAAAACAAAAAATCTTACAAATAAATTGAAAAAAAAAAAAACAAATTTATATATGTATATAAATGAAGGAAATTCGTTTTTTGATTTCGTCGAGAGGTGGTCGGTCGTGTGTTTTGTTCCGTCTTACTTGCGCTCACGGTAGTGAGAGCGGGATGGACGGATACGCCGCTTATGCGCAAAAAACGGATTCAGCCTTGCCTGAATCTTGCCATCGCGTATATCCGCACGAGTGTGCATGATGGCGCGATACTGAACGGAGGCTTTGTTCACATTAAAGTCATCGGGCAAAGATTTTTTACAAATTAATAGCTCGATCAGTTTACGCAGCCCCGTCTCACCCACAGCAATCTCCTTCTCGTTGCCATACAAATTGAATATGACATAAACTAATTCTCTATCGTAGTTCGTAGGTCTCTCGCGTGTTGGAGTCGAGACTGATGGCTTCGATTCTTTGGCATTCGTTGCTGTTGGCTTCGAGCCTGAAGCAATCGCAAGTGATGTTCCATTCGAGCCGGTGCGCTTCAATGCTAGTTCCGAGAGCATTGGCATCGAATGACGTTTTGGCTTTTTCAAAGCGCTGTCTATCTTCGGCTGCTTGGTCTTCCAGCGGCCAAAGAACAAGGGCGGCGAAACCAGGTAGTTGTGCTGAACCGGTGCCTCATGGGGATTCAGGATACCGTGGAACCAAGAGTATGGCAGTGCGCCAGGTGCAAACACACAGCCGACATCAAAGTTTTTGGGCAAATAACGGTGGGGCAGAAAGACAGGCTCTCTGGCGATGATTTCGGGTGGAAACAGTTCCGCGGGCAGGTCGAATTTCGGTCCTGGTGCGTTCATGGCGGCCCTGCATACTTGCGGTACGTGTGGCTGCACCACCGTCGAGATAATGGTCATGGCATATTTCATCATGGCATCAGCTATAGTGGGCAGCACCACCTTCAAGTCGCTGAGATCTGGCACGTAAATGTTGTACTGCGTCGGCAGCGGATTGTCAATGTATTTCTGCATGATGGCTATGGTGTTGGCATCGGCGCCCACAAAGCCCAGGGCCACTTGACAGCGCTTTAGGCGCACACGCGTCTCAGCCGACGGCTTGCCGATGCCGTTGGAGAGCGGCATTTTCAGATTCGTGGCCAGTTGTGGTCGACGGCCGACAAATAGGGCCGGTGTCGGTCCCTTGTGCTGCGGCGGCAGCATGCCGATCGGGTAGTACTTGCGCGGCAGTACGCCGGGTCCACAAACAGCGCCAGCATCGAAGCCCGGCGGCAGTAGCTTCGGCGACAGAAAGGTCATCCGGTTGATGGGTGCGTGGACGGGAAAGCGATCCATCGGCAGATCGAAGCACACGCAAGCCATCTCCTCCTTCAGCAACTTAACGGCTGCCAAATCGTGCGGATACTGCTTCACCGTTAGCTTCATGAACACCAAGCGCTCGGCGCCCGGCGGCACAGCCATGCGCGTTAGATTCGGCACATAACGGAGCTTGGCGCTTGTCAGTTGTGTCATTTTGTGTATGTGTGTGTGCATGTGCTGGCAATGGATCAGCGAGCTCATTTCATTGGTCGTTCCGGGTATTAGCAGGGATAGTTCCTGGTCCAGTTCGAGATCTGCGCATATGAAAAAATTATTCAAAATCACGTTCTTTCCAACAGAACGTTATTTTCTGTGTGTGTGTGTGTGTGTGTGCGTTTTCAGTTGCTTTGGCTGCGTGTGCGTGTGTGTGTGTGAGCGTGCCTTTGTTTGCCTGCAAGTGTAAGCAAGGATTACCTGGTTGCTGGTGCCCCAAGGCACCCGAGCTCGACATTTTGAAAAACAAAAAGAAACTAAAAAGCGAGCAGACTGCGCCTGCGAGTCGATCGCAACAACTTTGGCTTCACTTGCACTTCGCGTGCTCTCCCGGAATGTGCGTTGAACGGGATTTTGTTGATTGTTCTTTTGGGTTTACTAAGCGCTAGTCCTGTGCTCTTGTTTTGTTGCCTGCACGATTGAAACACCAAACTTCCGGGATATTTTGATTGTCATAAAATTGCAACTGTCAACTTGGTGAAGCGATAACTTGTGCTTGTACGTCGATAACGATAGTGTGCCGTCCGGGATTAAAAACACAATCACAGAGAAACATCTGGCAGCTTTGGCAAGTTTTGGAAATTCGTACGGTTCAAGTTGAAATACAATATATTTTTTGGGGTATGGATCCCAGCACAATGTGGCGCCTGCAGGAGGCTTGTCAGCGCAACCTCGTCGAGCGGCAGCGGATCCGCAAACGGCTGCAGCATCTGACGGGCAAGCGCTCCGGGGAACTGCTGTGTAAAGACAAAAACAGACATGGCCAACCCGACGACTGGCCCTGTTTGACGTCATTCGGCATTGCCGATGCACGCGAGAGGATGAGCGCGCCTGCACCTCAGTCGGGCCCGAAACGTGCGCGCCAACGAAAGCTGAAGCATGGCTGCTGTATTCGGGATATAAGAGAAGAGCAGCCGCACCTTGAGCTGCTTGTCGTGGGCCACCAGTTGCCCATGCACCCTTTGCCGATGACAGCGACGCGCTCTCATCACACGAGCGAACACCTGCAGCAGCAACAGCATCAGCAGCAGCAACAACAAAAGCAGGAAGAGCAACAGCCTCAAACCCTCAAACACACACACGCACATGCACGGTCGAAGTCACAGTCACGGAACCAACAGGCAGCATCAAGCGGGAGAGCGAAGGCCGAGCCTCCATACCCGAATGGCTTCGTTTATTTCCTGTCGCGCACTTGCCACCCCCACCAACAGTGCGCCCAGTTCCAGGCACAGGCACTGGCACAGCCACAGCCACAGCCACAGCCGCCGAGACAGAGACTCTCTGAGATGCACGTGAGGAAGCACCACCTTGTTTTGGATGCGCGATTCATGGCGGAACTGCTGGACGAAATACTCTTGTGAAATTGCAACACCATCAATCACCTGTTGCGACACCTCTCCGTCACGCACTTTGTTTAGATCACAAATAAATTCAGATCGGAATTGCCTTCTTACCCCTTTTCTGGTCTCTCTTACTCACTCTCGTTCTTACTCCCACTCTCGCTCGTTCTCTGACTCCGACACTGACTCTCTCTCTTTGTTTTTGTATTTAGCCTTCAAATGCCAGCGGTGGCAGCGTCAGTTACAGCTCCAGCTCCAGCTCCAGCTTTAGGGCCGAGACTTAATCAGCGACTGAGGCAAGCCGGCAACTGAGTCTGGCACTAAGGCACTCAGGCACAGGCCCACGGTTGGGTTTGTTTTTCTTTGAAAGATGAGGCCGGACGCCTGCCACAACGACGCCAACAAAAAATAACAGAAACAGAAACCACGCCGACGCTGCAACACAATCCCAAATAACAGACGACGACTTGTTGATGGCATTGGCATTGTACTTTTTGTTTTGTTTTTAATTTATTTTTTCTTGCAATTTGCAAACTTCCTATTATCAAATAAATGTTTTTTGTTTATAGAAAAATAATAAGAGGCAATAAGTGTGTGTGTCTGTGCGGCTCTATCGAGAAGAAGTATTGAATTGACAGGGATACGTCGTATCCGTAAACATATCTGGATACAGATCGGGTTCAGCTGCAGCTTTCAGCTTCATATGCGACTTGGCGCAATGGTTAACAATTCGGGCACTTTGCCTCAGTAAAAATATTGATATACATATATATATATATTTATATACAAAGATTGTGGACCTGTTGTGCCGCCTCCATTGAAATGGCTTGAACAAGGGATGTGGGACAGGAATCCGAATCGGAATGGGGATGGGGATGGGGATGGTGGGTAGTGAAAGGGAGGAGATTGGTTGGTACACACGTACGCTAAGCTAAGCCTAAGTCTTGGTTGCTACAAAACCTAGAGGTTAACAAATTCCTTGTCTATTCTGTTTTGTTTTTTGTTGGTTTGTTTCGTTGGAGATTGATTGGGTGGTTAACAGCATGTGGAGGGGAGGCGCTTGCTTGCTGTTTGCTGTTTTAAACATGGCCTTGATTGTGTTGACTATAGCTAGTTTTTGGTTTCGTTATTCGCATCGCTGTGGCTCTCCTTTTCCTGATCCTTTTCCTTGACCGCTGCACTACTCTCCTCATCCCTTTCGTTGTCTTTATACACTTCACTTTTGTCCATCTCCTCGTCGTCTTCTGTGTATATCAGCGAGGTCTGTACGGGTACGCCAGTCTCCTCCCCATTGTCATCCGCCTCGACCAGTCTACCCTTTAGATTTAGTTCCTTCTCCCGCTCCAGATCCTGCTCGCGCGCTAGCTCCTGTTTCTGCTCGCGCTTAATTTCCCATTCGTGCCTAGCCTCTTCCCTTGAGTGCTTGCGCCGCAGCATGTGTGCCTTGCTCTGCAGTGGCGGTGTGACCTGCGTGGACGTGTCCTTATTGCGCTCCATTTTCAATTCCATCTCCACATCGGAGTCCATGTCCATTTCAGTCTCAGAAAATGACAACGAGTTGCCGGCACGCGGTACCTGATAGCGTCGCATATCCTACATCCAATAAAAACAGAGAATTAGTTGCAATTGTACCATGGAAATCATTTTTAGGGTGCGGCCTACCGTGTTCAGTGTTGTTGGCTCCGATATGTAACCATCAAAATCTTCATCTTCGCTGAATAGATCCGCTGCGTTCACGCCATAGGTCTCCGGCAGCCGGCACACGATCTGCGCCAAATCGATGAACGTGTACTCGTTGAGTGAGGCATGATTGCTGCGTCTGGGCGGCTCCTTGTTGAACCACTGATTGAATCTGCCCAACCGTCCCGCCTTCGCCATAGCCTCAAAGTAGTTCTTGCCAAACACATAGCCCACGTCCCGGATCTCATCGAAGCTGCCAAACGCAAGGGTCTTGTACTTGTCGATGGGCGGTCGAATGTATTCACAGTAATCCGAGTTCTTTACCTCCTGAAAGGGCAATTCAATTAATACAGTTATAATCCGAGTCGGATGAGGGGGGGGACAAGTACGCACCTCCAATTGTCGAACGCACGAAACGTAGGCAAGCCGCGATTGAATGTCGGGCAGATCGGGCACCTTTACGGGCGATGTGAAAGGATTCCATTTCTTATAGAGCAGCCACCAGCCGCTTAGATCGTCCCCGTAGTTGGTCAAATCAGTATCATCCTGGGAGCCTACATCGATGGCGATTGTGTGAGCGGCGCCCAGATTGTGCATCACATCAGCTACAGTCGAAACAGAAGGTTTGTGTGTGTGTGTTTTGTGTATGTGCAATGGATATGGTAATGTGTTGGTTAGTCGTTAGAGTGTTCAACTAGCGGTACATGGTAGCCATTGATACTCGAGCATCTCGAGCACTGGGACACACTCCCAGCCAACCCAAGCTGCTCGAGCCGGGCAGGCTACAACTCATCTGAAATAACGGAGTCGCGGAATGCGCGGTTGCTATTGCGGCGCAGAGTGTTGGACACATAGGTGTGTATGGATGCTGGTTTACCTGGCACATTGTTTGTGTAGCAGCCATCGAGGAGGAGATGGCCGTCGCGGTAATCACAGAAAGGCGGAAAGACACCAGCGATGGACATGCTGGCACGGCAGTAGCGCCACAGGTGACCTGCCGCAGCCGGACAACAAATGAATGAGCGGGCACACCAGACACACACACACAAACACACACAACAGACAAGCAACACAGTGGCAGTCGGGCACATTGGGTGTGTGTTGTGTGGTGGACACGGACGCAGGTGGTGACATTTTTGTGATTGTGTAATTCGGTGTGGGTGGAGAGAGAGAAATATATAGAGAGAGAGAGAGAGAAATATATAGACAGGATTTAATTGCCGCTGTTTGGTGATTTCAAAGAATGTCACTCTTTGTGCTAACTACAAAGGAAAAATAGTCGCCAAGTCAATAAATTTGAAACTAAGATTGTTTACGCATACCACAAATTAAAATATAGTTTTTGTACATAATCAACGGAAGAGAACAGAAGAAAGAAAACACGATAGAACTTTTGTGCGCACTCAACTCTGCATCTGTGTAGGTGTGTTTGTTTGTTTTGGTTTGTGTTTATTATTCGTATGTTGTGTTATGAGAGTGACAGGGACGGGAACAGGGACAGTGGTGGTGGTGGTGCGCATTCACCGTTATATTAAGCACACAGCGCAACTATCGATCAATGCGAGGACAATAAAAAACAGGGCTGCCAGTACAACGAATTTTGTTGCTAAAAACTCAAAAAACACAAGAGGAAAAAAACACAAGAACAACTAGAACAGCATCAGCTTGGGATAGATCACATATTTATCAGAGGTAGGGTATGGGCGGGACATGGACGAAGCTTAGGGTAGGGGTAGGGCTATTATGTATATCCAACACTCTGCGCACGCTCTAAATTGAGAATCGAGAATTTAAAAAAATAGATTAACGATTCGTTCGGTATTTACAATTAGTTTAGTTTTTGTTTTTTTTTTTTGGTTTGAGATATAAATGCATTCTAATTGCTATTTACCTGGCAAGTTATTTACATAGCCGCCATCCAGTAGCAGGTGCCCATCTTTGGGGTCGCAGAGGGGCGGCATGTAGCCGCTAAGCGACATGGAGGAGCGTACATAGCGCCACAGAGATCCTGCATTTGATTGATTGATTGGACGGTTGGTTGGTTTGTTGGTTGGTTGTAGGCAAGAAGGCAGTTTTTGGTTTGTTTGTTGTTGATTAACGGCATGCCAGCAATGAGATTAGGTATGAGTGTTTCGAGGTGCGTTTGTGTGGGAAGAGAACAAAAATAGAGAGATAGTTTGAGAGAGAAACAGCGTTGAGCGAAAGATTTGGTTTTGATTTTTTTTGTGGGAGATGTTGTGGTGGGTAATGATGAACTGGCTGGCTTTGTAGTATCAACAGACTAGCAATAGAAGCTAGAAATATTCATCGAAATTAGCTTTTGGCAACTGTCAACCCTAGCACACAAAACGGCGAAAAACAAGACAAGGTAATAAGTAGCAGCATTAACGGTAACAACAGCAACAACAACAACAACAACAACAACAACAATGATGAAAAGGGATGTCCATGCCTGTCTGTGAATCCATGTGAAATATGTCTACCCACAACTGCACACCTACCGAGGACGGAGGGTTAAAGCCTCTAATTTGCGTTTGGAGGGGAGGACCCTTAATGAGGCTGGGTGTGCGTGTACATGTGTGTGTGTGTTGGTTGTGAGAGTTTGGTTGTGGGTGTGTGCGTGTGCGTGTGCTGCGTCTTGCACTCTCAGTTCTAAGTAAAAGGTATACGAACAAACGGTAAACGTAGCCTTACCGTTATGTTCGTACACCTTGGCACTCTAAGACTACAAAAGATAGACAGAGAGAGAGAGGGATAAAGAGAACAATCAAGAGCTACCGAAGGTAAAGCAACAAACAATAACAGAGTTACATACGAAATAGACATAGCCAGAAAAAAACATAAAATGCATATAAGCAAAATGAATACTAAAATAAAAGACAAATTTAAGTAGAAGAAGGAGCACTAGCAACAAAAAAAAGCAGAGAGAGAAAGCAGAGAGATCGTGAGAGACAGACAGGTGCACTGTCTGCCCTGCCCACTCACCGTTGGTGTGGATGCGATGGCAACTGGCGGTGATATCCGTTGTGAGGGTGAAGTAGGGTATCCACAGATCTTCAATATTCACATCACCGAAGGTATCATGGATGGTCTTATTGAACTCCCGCCCGGAGAACATCGATGTTAGGGGATAGGTTAGATCCAAGAGTTGTAGGAACCATTTGGTCATTTTCTGAAACGAAGATACAAAGATAAATGTTGAATCAATTTAGTGTGTGCATGGGAAATCATGCAACATACCTTTGACCACTCTCGCGCCTTCTGGGTGACCGTGGTAATGTTACGCTCCGAGCACCAGAGTGCACCCATTAGCGCACCAATGCTGACGCCTCCGACCATATCGATTGGTATGCCCGCCTCCTGTATGGCCTTCAGCATGCCAATATGAGCAGCACCACGTGCCCCACCGCCGCCCAAAACGAGACCAATCGAATTGCCCGTCAGCCAGCGGGCC